TGCTTCCATCGGAACGAATCTTGGATTTGTCTTCCTGCCAGTAAAATACCTTGTCCTTCACCTGAAGAGGCTTTGAACTCATTCGGAGATTTTGAGCAAGGTCTCGTCGGATGTCCTCGGATTGACGTGCTTCTTGGAAAGCTTGCTTTGACAGCTGCTTTATCTGGATGGCTGTCATCTCTTCCTCATTCCTGTCAATCGTCAACTGAGTTGGAGTTGCGACATCGAGTTGGATGAGATCTGCTGGTCGTCTTCCGAATGCGAGCTCCAATGGTGTTACTGCCCCGTAGGTGACGGTCTGATTCCTGATAGTTGCAGCGGCCTTCACCAGTTGCCTATAAGTCACTTTCTTCAGTGTTGCAGGTGCAGTGCCTGCTTTGATGGAACTCAGCATGATCTTGAGTTGTGCCTTCAGGAGTCGAACTGCTGCTTCAGCTCGAATTGGCCATGGTGTATTTGGTCCCAAAGATATCGGAGTGATGTCAAGGGACTGATAGAAATGTTCCCATGTATCTGTCATGAAGGCTTGATCTGCGACAACTGATCTGGGCTGCAAGTGGTACTGGTCGAAATAGTTCCTGAGGACAGTGATGTTCTCGACTTCTTGCGTAGTTGTCACTGCCTCTGCAGTGAGCAATGTTGTTGCTCCATCCAGGATGACAAAAACAATGATGTGTTCTCCAGTTCCAAGAGGAACTTGACAGTGATCAATGAATGTCATGTCACCAAAGGTGTCCGCTCGAAGTCCCCTTGTCTTGCTTCGTGATGGTGCGTGTTTCGCCGCTTGGCAAACGTAACTTCACACTCACTTCAAATCTTGTCAAATAGATCGAATGTTGATTTCGGCAAATGAAGTGCTCGGGTTCTAAATCGAAATTGATCTGTGGTCATGTGATGATGCTGCAGGTGGAGTTTCTTCAACTCTTCTGGATTCGACAATCGCTTGTGGATTCTGCCTAGGGCAAGCGGAAGCGATGTTGGTTCTTCTGAGGATGGTGCGAAAGGATCTGGCTCAATAGTCGACTGGCCCCTCTTGTCGATGATCCTGTCTGCTGCCGATCCTGAACCTGCTTCTACGTCCTTCAGCGAATTGTCCGAGAAGGTGAAAATGGTCTTACCTATCCACAGGTTAATCATCGGTTTATTTGCCTGGGATGTAAGTCTCCAATTGTCTTCCAAGATATCTGGATCTCCACCTGCGGATGCAAACAATGATTTCCGTGGCACGTTCTCGGCTGATGTGATCAGGATTGATTGGAAATTGGACATTCCTTGGCTGCATTTGGTGTGAACAGCGCCTTTCGGGGCGTGATGTGCACACGGATGAGCTGCTTGTTCTTCTTGTCAAGGATCCAATGGTCCTGCTTTTGAGACCCAATGATCTTAGGAGTTGCTAGGTCCTCCTTTGTCTCGGATGATTTTGCTGCACAAACAGTTTCGCTCCTGGTGAGATTTCCGGAGGGAAGTTTGATGCTGTTATCATCGTCATAGACATAGTTTGTGAGGCCCTTGTGAGCAATTTCTCCATGCGCCTTCACTGTTGCAACTCCAGCGAGATCGACGAGTGCATGTCCTGCACCGGATACTGGAACTGCTTGACGGTTCATGCCAAAGGCCTTGCATGTGATCTTGTCACATTGAGGTGTGTGCTCGATGGTCATGTAGAGGTTCCGCATCTGGCTGATGCTGAGAAGGATCGGTACAGTTCCTTGTTCAAGGATGTCGATGTTCGTACTGCATGGAGGAGTTGTGTGATATCGAAGATGCAGGGTCCAATTTACCCTGGCGGTCTCTCCGTTTGCAAAAGTGAACTTGGTCTCGGCCGGGATGTACTCGTAGGAGATGATGTCCTTCATTGGTTCGATTGCCTGGGTAAAACGCTGGATTGCATGCCAGCTGCCCATAGATCTGGTACATCCGTTGTCCAGAATCGCATAGGTCGGGTTGTGCTGAGGGTTGATGACAGGCGCCATCAGCTTTGTTGCCAAAAGGCTGTGATTTGTTGTGACGGACAGATTGTGTTCTGAAACTGCATCTGATTGGATCAGCTTCTCGTGGATGGCCTTTTTCCCAGGATACTCATATGCATCATGGAATGCCATTAACGCTTGTCCTGTGCTGGATGTCTCATGGGATGAGTACCAGCCATGTTCGTTCCATGTCCATGATTGATCCCAATCTTGGTCTGTCCAACCGGCATAGGTAGGCTCTGTGGATGGTGCAGTCTGCTGGATGGCGGGCTGCTCCTCCGTCTTCTCTGCGGTGGCTGCGAACGTCTTGGATTTTCCTTTTTCTTGTCCGCTCTTTCCTTTGCCACTCTCATAGGATGGATAACCTTTGTTTCCATCATAGGGATATTGGAATTTTGATTTTCCTTTCTTTCCCTTCTTTCCTTTGCCTTTTCCCCAATATGCCTGGTCGTAGGGATCATAGTTTTCGTTGGCCATATTGGCCTTTCCGCCAGAACCGCTTTTTCTGAAGGGTTTGAAGCCACCTCGTTGGGGACTGCCCTTCTTGTTTCCTGATTTTCCTTTTCCTTTTCTCTTCTTGAACTTGAAGTTCCGCCCCGACACTTTTCTTGCTATGAACGCATCGTTCTCCTCGAGGACCCAGAACGTCTCTTCATCGTTGTTTGACATGAATCCTTCAAGTCCTTCTTCATCCTCAACCCAGAAGCCTTCTTCTCCTTCATATTCACCTTGTTCGATGATGAAGAATGTGTTGCTTCGGTTGCCTCCTTGAGGTCGGATGGATGGATCTTGGATCGATGTCCTCGTTGTGATGAAGAGTTCATGGTAGTGTGTCTTCAGCATCTCATAGGAATAATTCTCGAGTGAGATGTTCCTCAATGACATTGCACTTGTGAGTCGTTCTCTTTGTTGATCTGACAACTCACTTTGTATGATGAAAAACTGTGCAATGAGATTATCCCCGAAGGGAAATGCGTCCCGCTGTCTGTCCTGCATTCCTTGGATATACTGTCTGAGGACTGTTGGATCGTCCTCATTGAGCAGGGCTGGAGGCGGTGCTCGAGCACCGGCTGCTTGCTGATGTCGAGCAATTGTTCTTGCATTTGCGTCCTGTACGGACTGTCAAAATGATGGAGACTGTGCCGTAAAGATTGGCATCAAGTCCATCCATGCTGCCTTCAATTTCATGAGAAGGATTTCGAATTTTGAGGTAAAAATGAGGAACTCTTGGTTCTGCTTTCTGTGGTTGAAGAAACTGAGGAGTCTGTACAGATACACGTTGGTCGCACTTCTTCAGCGTGTTCTTGAAATAGTTGACTCCTTCATCAGGATCTTGCAAAAGGTCATTTTGGAGGACGGCCTTGTACATGTAAGCATCTCCAGTGAGTCTGCTCTTAAGCAATGGACCTCGCTTGGCTGCTTCTACTGTGGTAATGGCACCCAGTCGTCCACGAGTTCTTCATACCTGAACCAGCTGACTTTTCCGTCGTACGATGGCGGCTGCTTGGCGGTCATCGATAAATTAAGTGTTTGCTCCGTGTAGCTCGGCTTTGCCGAACTTGTATAGGCCTCCATGAAGCCTGAGGCCCACTGCCCCAGGTGCCTATCCCCGGAGGGAACTGGAACCCTGTGGTAGTTGAGGTCGTTGTTGGTCCCTGAATCTATTCCGGAGAGAGTCCAATATGCCAGCAAGGGATGATTGGAGGATGGATTGTCCCTGGTGGATTGTCTTATGGATAATCCTGTAAGCGGCCTGCAATGGCTCTTTTGTCCTCACGCTCGGATGGTCGTGATTATGCAAAAAGGGGCCTTGAGCCAAATGTTGCGGGAGATCAATGGTCTGAAAAACAGAACACAGGGGGGGGGTGTCTATTTTAGTAGGGGAACCCTCCCCCAAAAAAGGGTAAAAGGGCGGCACTACGGGACCTAGAGTTCATTCCAACTCATTCCCTACCTATCGCTTCCCATCGAGTGGATCGGCCAAAACAGCCCTGGAACTTTTTTATGACCACCAAAATGGTCTTCCCAAAAATATTAAAGTCCAACAACTCAGGAAGTGAGTCAAGGGATTTGGACCCTCTGCTGCGTCTTTGTTTGGAGTTGGTAGTTGCTATGTATTTTGGGAAGTCCACAGGGAAAGACCTTGTCAGGGTCCCGTCTTTTCAGACACACCCACTTGGACAACCTGCGTACTCAGTTCCGATCGAGTCGATTGGCCAAAAAGCAAACTTATTGGTTGAGCACTCCTTTGCCCAAATGGGAATTCTTGGTCTACAAGAAAAGCCATGGAACACCGACCACGAACACAGAAACACTGAGAAAGGTGACCCATGACGATGGGACAGGGTCGGAAAGACTCTGGTCCTCTTGAAAAGTCCGGGTAACCTTTGAAACCAGCATGGCCCACTGCACAATGATATTATTTTCTGTTAGCTGGATTTGGTTGAGAAAATACTCATGCCCCAAAAGTCAGAACAAAGGTCCAACCATGTCCAACCTAAGAGCATTCAGCGGCCGTATTAAAACAACACCGTTGGAGTCCTCCATTTTTGGGAGCGCGTCAGACTCGCCACTTCTCATTCCCTGCATCGCATCGGATTCGAAAGCCATGGGATTGGATTTTCGGGATTGGAACCCCTGACTCCAGCCGGCGAATGCGCATCCACCGACTAAATGCCGAACCACCACCGCGCTGCAAATCACCTGGAGGAAGGCTGAATTGGTAACACCACCCTTGGGATCGCCCCTCCCCGGAAAATCCATGCCTGGTTCCATTTTCCTTTTTGTTGGGAAGACGAGAGATCAATAAAATTAGGGGCCCCCCACCCCCCTACAGATCCGAGGTGGTTCAATCTTTCTTGCATTTTGCCAAGGGATGTTAGGACGGAATCAACGTTTTGCCAACTAATTAAACCACTCAAAGTTAAAAACGTCTAAACCACTAAACCAGTACAAGGTTTTCCATTAACCCCACTAAAAGTTGAGAAAACCTTTGAGCAGGGCTTCGCAGAAAGTTCCGCCGGGCTTGAGGTTGCTGGCCTCGGTGGTGGAGCTCTGGCGATCGCTGCCCGTGGACCCCACCCTCCTGCGCCTCTGCCGACTCGCCAAACTCTTCAGGCGGGATGGAACCGGCCGTCGCTTCGAAGCGTTCGGCTCGGGACGGGTCGCTTTTCGGAGCGAAGGGTCCGGTTCAACTTGGTTCGGTTCCATAGGCGAAGGGCGGAAAAGAGGGATATTTGGAGCGCTCTCCCTGGGCCTTTCTTAGGGAATAAGGAACATCGGCGTCCTTTTTGGTGGTGTTGGTCGAAAAATAGATGGCGATTCCTGCTTTACCTGGTGGTTTTTTCTTTTACCAGGGAAACCCATCTATTTGGCCTAAAAGGACACCTATGTTCGGTTCGGTTCGGGGAGGGCATTTCTGGGTTCAAGAGCGAAGCGTCCGGTTTTCAACTTAGGTGGGGTTTTCCTAGGTCCCCCAGCTAGATACCCTTTTACCGTTTCTTTTTTGGGGCAGGGTTCCCCTACTAAAATCGACTGCGCTCTCTACTGGAGGACCTAGTTGAACTTAGGTGGTTCGTTGTTTTCAGTAGGTTTTGTGGTTGGGTGGCCATTTAACCCACAAGTTAGACTTTTGGCAGGAATCTTTATATCTGGCAACACTTAGTTGGTTTAGATTTGAATTTGAACTCTCTAGGTTCTTGCAGAGGGTAAATGGGAAACCACCCTGAACCACCAAACCAGCGATCCAAAGAACTAATTAGAGGGAAGCTGATTTTAGGGGGCCCGCTAATGGTGACCCCTGATTAATAAACCCCCCGGTTACCAATCAGGGGTGTCCCCCTAGAAGAGCATCCCCACGAAAAAGGGGACCCTGGCCCTGACCCTTTCAATTACAAGAGGGGGTGTATTAATCAGGGGTTGACATTGAAATGGCTTCGGTGTTCCTCTTGGTTTTCTTTTCACACCACCAGGGGCCACCCACGGAAAAAGACACACCCGTTTGGAAAAGGAGGAAGATTGGGTCGTTAACGCAAATGGCACGTGCGGTTTCGAGAGGTGGGTGGAGGGACTTCAGAAAAGTCGTCCACCATCGCGCACACACACACACACACACACACACACACGGTCCCCCCGGTAGTGCCCTTTTTACCCTTTTTTGGGGGATGGTTCCCCTACTAAAATGGACAACAACCAAAAAACATTCGGGGTACCAACTTCTTCTAACCTCTCAAATCTGGACCTAGCATAGGCGTGCGCGAAAGGCCAAGAAAGGTGAGAACAGTGGGCCTCCAGGTCTCAGGCCCCTCAAGAGGATCCCTCCCAGCACATCAACATGGCCTCAGCTCGGGTGCAGAGTGGAACCCTATAGAGGGTTAGCCCCAAAAAGTAAGCCCTAGTCATTGTTGTTGTTGGGAAACATTTGAAACATTTTTGCTGATTGTGGTTTAGTGGATTTGAAATCCAACCACTGAACTGCTAGAATTTGTGAATTTTGTTGCTCCCCTAACCCAACGTCAACCAAGTCAAAAGGAACAGGGATTCCCCCGTGAAGTCTTGGGGCGTTGATTCAAAGAGCAAACCAATCTGCCACTCGGACCAACTTTCGGACTTGGAGGATCCTCTACTTCACTTGGCAGGTGGGTTGTCTCAGAGCCGGCTACCTTGAAGCTTGGTGGGCTTCCTTTTGTTTCCCTTTTAAAAACCAACCCAAAACGGGTACCATCATAGAAGGACACACCCATACTAGAAGGGTGGCCTGTTCTGTTCTTCCATTTGGCGTAAGAACATGCTTGTATTTCCCCCTCTTGGTTTCCAATCTATCACCGGACATACTGTGGATGGACGAAGCCTGCACCACCTAAGAATCCCTGGAATGATGATTCCCCTTTAATTGACAACAAGCAATGGCTTCCCATGGTTTCCAAGTGGTGCGATTCCTGGATTTTGCAATCATCCACAGTGTAAAAAGTTTTTGGTCCCACAGGCGAAAACAATTGTTCGGTTTGGGTTTTTTGGGGCACCCAGGACCATCCGATTTCTCAAGATGTCGGGGATGCTGGACTCCCTCTCCATGCTCCTGCGGTGTATGAGCTCCAGTGGCCTCACGCTCCCCGGACCCTGGGGGGGGGGGTTGAGCAAAACACGGAACCCAGCAATCAGTGAAGTCAGTCCTGGGAGCGGTTCAGGGTAGACAATATGAAGGAGTCAAAAAAATGCGCTTGGTTTTTGTTGGTGGTTCTCCCTGTCTTTTTGAAGGAAGCGGGAATGAGACCCCATGTTGCAATATGGGTACCCGCAAGCAACAGGACGGATTGTTCATCGCGCCAGGTTGAAACACATGGTACTCTGGCTTAGGTTGAAGCACGTGTTACCAGAGCGACTTAGGCGGGTATTGGGTGAGTTGCTCACTTGCAACCAAAGTGAACCGACTGGATCTGGCCTCCCTTGTTTGACCCATGTTGATGTTTGGGCCCTTTGGGCAACTGAGGTTGTAGATGGCACAACTTCCCCCATCTTGGTTTCATCCCCTGTACCCATCTACTTTCGCGATGTATTTTCTGAAAACCCGAAAGGTCCTTGCCACCTGAAGCAACAAACCTTTCTGGTTGAGGCAAGGACTCAAAAAATGATTGCAAACTGAACCCAATATGGTCTCTTGGAGGGAATCCCGAGGTTCATTCCCAAAATGTCCCTTCTTGATTCCGACCAAACACGGCAAGAGGCATGGTGCGTAAAACCCCTTTCTCAAATTAAAAGCAGGGTTTGGCCTTTCAAAAGGGGCCTAAGGTGAACCAAGCATGTTTGGGGGGAAGCTATCCCTACAACTACTTGCCCCGTTAAAGAGCGATTTCCCGAGGGGAATCAAAAACACATGGTGGCCAAACCATCTGCCACAGTCTTACCTTTTCTGTGCCAACAAATCGCGCTTCCCTTTTAGGATAGATGTTGAAGGGAAGCAACGGTCCAACCTAGGTACCTGCCAGGAGGCAGCGGTTTCAGAACATCAAAAGGACTCGGATTGACAGCTGCATGGGAAGTAGGCCGCCCACTTTGTGTAGTGGTTCTTGTCTCTGCTCCTTTACAGAATGCTCAATGTTCCCAAAGGCAAACGACAAGGGCATGGGTATGGTTTGAATTTTCCAGGCCCCCTATTTGACACCCAGTGGTTGCTTCCCCTCCCTACTTGATTCCAAGTATTCGAACTTGGGGAAGAAGAAAAAAAGGAGCAAGAATCGGGTCCTGGAGCGGATAATTTGTTGGTGAAGTACGCACCTCACTTTGGGCAAAAGGCACAAAAAAGGCCGACGCACAACACAGAAAGAGAGAATGCAGCGCTGGAACACCAACTTGGGATTCCCAATCCGATGTTTTGTGGGCACCTGGGATTCCTGCCTCCACGATTGCATATCACTTTTCGCGGTTCCCTGAGTCACCACCCCTGCCGACTCCCTCAGAAGGGCGTATACCCTGCCCCCCCCCCCACTGAAGCCTCATCCCAAAGTCATCCCGGAAGTGGGCGAAGTCACAGCTGACTTTGATAACCCCAGAAGTCAATATGAGCCTGGTCCAAAAGCCATGGGTTCTGGAGAAATACCTCGATATTATTCTTTTGAAAGAAACTAGGGTATACGGTATATGCTGGCCTTTTTTGCTGGTATTTACAGTACTTTGCGGGGACTTTCAAGGTTTTTCCCGTTGACATCCGCACCAGCCGACTCCTTCAGGCGTGGGAACCCCATATTAAGGAAGCTCATGGGCCAAAACTGGGTTCAAAACACAAAAGACTCAACCTTGCGACCAATTCGCGTGTCGAGTGGTGCTGTTGCTTTCACCGGTCGATTTGTGAGTCAAGGTTCCAAAGCTGAATCCTTTGATGTCCAGGCCCACGTCCAGAAGATGCTCCTCAACATGGGATTTCGGAACCCCCCCTTTGGTAAAGGTATTTAAAGGGAAACCCAGAAATTTGAGGGGCTGATTCCACTTGGTGGCTCCCAGCCATCCGGTTCCTTATCTTTTTAGATCCTTTTAGTGTTTAGTGGTAGTTTCCGAATTTCACCCACTAAAAGTTAGTCACTTTTAGCGGGGGATCAGAAAACGGGCAGCCCAGTCCATTTAAACCCCGAAAAGAAAGAATCGTTGGAAACCCCGATTGTTTTTGGCTGATTCCTTTTTCTTTTGTTTGGTGGAAGCCCCGAAATTTGAGGGGCTGAGTTTCCTTTTTTCTTGCGGGGTCCGCGTGGCCGAAGGCTCTTCTGGTCGCTTCTCTTCCTGGGTGTCATCCAGCTGATCGCCGCCATGATCATCTGTTTGCTGGTGCGGCCCTACCTCGAAGACGTCCAGGCTCTGAAGACATGAGCGAGGGGAAAAGCCAATGGTATCCCATTTTGGGGTAGGTGCACCACCCATGTTAATGTGTTTTAGTGGGGATTGGAATGTTCACTGGGGGTGACCCATGGCCAAATGGGCGAGGGGAAAAGTGTGGGTGAGGAGCAAGATTGGCTCTAGGAGAATCTGTGCTTTGGGCCCCAGAAACGATTGGACCCCAGGTGCCCTTCCCTGGATTGTCTATGTTGCTAGGTTGATTCCTGTTCATTTGGTTTGGATCAAAGAATGTGCCATGGGACATGGCGTTTCCATTCAGCGTTTCCATTAAACCGACCAAAGGTGATCGGCCTTTGCTCGGGAAGAGCAACCCGGATGTGGGGGCGTCCAATTCCTTTCCAAAAGGGAGCGAGTGGTCCTTCAATGTTGTTCAATGTTGGGCACCAAGGGAATCACAGCTGTCCGCCAAAATGGAGGACATTGGGGGGCCCTACCAAGCGAAACCCACCTGTAATTCAGCCTCCGGAATTCAGTAGCACTTTAGAAAGGACCTGAAAGGCATGGTGGGGTTCTCAGGAATTCACCCGGCATCTCATTTGAAGTATTTTGCCGGTGCAAATATGGGCCAGAATCAAAGTTCCTGCGTTTGTTTGGGACCAAGTGAAGGATGACACAAAGTAAAGCGTGCAGAGTGTAGTTGGTCAACTGGCAACAATGTTGAAACGGAACCTTCCATTTGCTTAAGAATGTGTTTTTGTTTTGCCCTGTTGCTTTAAACGGAATCTATCACTATTGGAAATACTGTTATTTTTCCCAGGGGGCTTAAGCAAATGGAATGAACCTTTGTATCCTGTCAAGTATTCTTCACTCGACACGTCATTGCTAGTTGTCCCGGAAGTGGGTGGTGACCTGAAGGGAAAGCAATGGGAAGGTATCACACAAAGTCCCTCAAGTGCAAAAACCCAACCCAAAACAGATTGCCCCCTGGTCCCCTTTTAGCTTGAAAGAATAGGAGTTTCAGTTTAAACATGATTCAAGTAGTGGATTGCCCAACTCCTTCAACCCCGTTCATTTTCCCTGAAGAGCCATCCCATAACCTTGCTTTCCACCAAGTGAGGGTTCCGAGAGAGTTACCCTGAGATTCTACAATGAAAAGAGGAAGTTTAATCTGCGATTGTTCAGTCGCACTCTTCCACAGTCTTTTTTCCCCGTGGCTTCCCCACGAATGAAAGGCCTTTCAAATAGGAAATTCTTACAGTTCCTGGAAACGCGGCCAGGTGAATGAAGTGGAGCGCCTCGCGGTGTATCGCTACTATGGCACCTCGGAATCGGCATCCGCAGAATGGGAGTCTCCCAAATAATAAGGGGGTGTTTGGTTGGAGGCTACTCTTTCAGCTTGGTTTGCAAGGGAACCAAACGGACAGCAACAATTTGTGGGGTCCCCCTATTTTGACACATACCCAAATAGCAGGGGGTTGTGTGGCGCTTTTCCACCAAAAGATGGTAGACAGAATGTTATCCCTTTTATTGCTGGTTTCGCTTGGTGGTTTGGGGATTTGAACCCCTTCTTGTACAGGGCACATGGGAAACCACCCCTCACCACAAAAAGAAACGGGACTTAAGCTACTAGTTGGAGGGAAGCTCGCTGTCCAAAAGGACCTACAAGTAGCGATTCACAGTCCGTGGCGTGCAACACCCTTCTCGATACAGTGTTCATTAAAAAAAAAGAAAACGTGGGTTCTAGCGGGGGCTAGGGCCCCCGGATAGGGCCTTACAAAGGGTTCAATTCGGGATGGGCCAATTCACGCAGGAAGTGAACTCCAAATGGCCATGCAAATCGTACCCCCAGTGAACATCTCAATCCCGACTAAAATAGGTTCTAAAATGGGTGGTGCACCGAAAACCCAAAAATGGGATCCCATGGGTTTTGACCCACAGCCAAATGTTTGTAATTATCACAGTGTGTTGAAGGTTAGTTCCCCTGTCATGCCTCATACTCAGAAACCGGCGAAGGGTGTGCCGCTTCCATGTGTTCGCATGGGGAAGTCAGCAAAGGGCTGTTCAAAATAGAAAGCGACAAAGAACGTGTTCAAGTGTTGGCAATGTGAGGGTACTTCTGTCAGCGTTCACGGAAGTGGGAAGGAGGTGGGCCCCGCAAAGTGAACGTGTTGAGGTGCTACAAAAAATCTTCGGCGGGGGTGCTTGCTTAAGCCACCTGTTAGCAGGCTCATTTTGACCATGTCTTAGTGGACCCAGGGGTGTGGTTCGGATCCTTTGGGCAAGATTTGTTCAAACAAACTTCTCCCCCGTGGAAGGAAATCCGCCAAGAGGTTCTGTGGACAATAGCTGTTTGAACAAGAAGGTCCTGTTGCCAAAAGGAGGCCGAAAGGTTGTGTAAGCAACAGTCCTTCGAACGTGGTCAAACAATGGACTGGACCAACCTTGCCTTCCGAGACAACAAAATTCACTCCACATGTGGGACGTGTCGAAATCGGGGACCACCCCAAATGGATTCGGGGTTTCCTTTTAGCATTCTTTAAACCAACCTAAAAAGGTTGAAATATCACTTGAAAAGATACGCACCTCACTTGTCCAAAGCCGCCCTTCTGACCTTGTAGTTTCCCCTTTTTGCCCTATGTTCAGTCATGGCCCCAACAGGTTGCCCTTTCTGGATCCAAACTCGGCGTCTGAGACACCCAGCCCAGCGGCTTGCCGTGGCTCTTTCGTTTTAGTTTGGTTTTAACCGACCTAAAAGGTACTAGGTCCCCCAGTAGTGCCCTTTTGACCCTTTTTGGGTGAGGGTTCCCCGACATATAATAGACTACAGAAAACAGTTGGTACCCTTATTCTAACCTCTCAAATCTGGAAAACCTAGGGTAATCTCAACCAACAGCTTCACCCACCCGAAACTTTCCAGCCGTTCTTGCCAAGGCTCCTTCACCTTAGCGGTACTCACCCTCTTCGAGGTCTTCTTTGCGAATTGGTCCCCCGCCTGCAGGGCTCTTACCGACAACATCAGCGAGTGGTACATGACGCTGCCCCTCGGCGAAGTGCCGACGTGTGACTTTCGTTTGCGGAAGCTTGACGCGTGGTGGTTTGTTTTTTGGTTTTCGTTTCCCCTCTTGGTTTGTTTTTTTGTGGTTTAAAACCCTCTTGGTTTTAAAGTAAATCGATTTCACTATTGATAAGATGGTTTCTCATTTGTTCCAGGGGACTTAAGCAAATGGAGAATGAACGGTCAAGTTTTGTGTGGTGTTTAAAAACATACCCCTGTGTGTGTGTGTGGGTTGTTGAGGTGCCCCTTTTTAAGGAGGGAACAAAGAACAGAACCCATTTTTGGGGTCCCCGGTTGTGACACACATCCATTTTGGTGGCTTTAAACATCACTAGTTTGTCCCAGCAATGTGAGTTTTAAACATCACCAGGAGGTCATTCACCGTCCAACGTCATTGGGTCACGCAATAAATATTCGCCAAAGCTCAGACGAGTTTCTTTTGAGGTGCCTTCTGCGTCCTTCGTTTGGTCCCCTTCGCAAAAGGAAACCACTCCTGGAGCTTCATGAGACAAACCCAAATATCGTGAATAGACGTGCCTGAGTCAAAGCCCCCGTCTCACTCGCGAGGGCTGGTCATGGCCCTCAGCAAGCTTGCTAACATGTTAGGATGTTCTGCTATGGCACACATAGTGGAAAGTTAAAACTTGAATTTCGGGTTTGCCACTGATACCAAGAGAGTCCCCCGCGACAAAAGGTATCTATGGGAAAGGGAGTGTCCTAAAAAAAATCCTCTTGGGGCCTCATGGGCCCATAACCGATACCAACAGGTTGACGGACACGGACCGTGGGTTTCTTCCTTTGAGTCTCCCTTTGGGCAACCTGAACAATGAACCAAAAAGCTTTGGTGCATTTTGCCACGGGATGTTCGGACTTTAGCTTTTTGTCAACTCATATTTGGGTTTTCCGTATCAAGCCACTAAAAGTTAGTCACTTTTAGCAGAGCAGAAAGAAACCGAGAAATGTCTGTCAAGGTTCCTGATATACCGCTGTGCCATCGGCTTTGCCGTCATCAACGTGGTGAACGCCGTCTTTGTTCAGCACCTCAGCCTGGTTCAATGTCCATCGAGATCACCCTCTGGTGGTTGAGTGGCAGTTTTGGTCGAAACCGCCAGTCAGTTGATCAACTTTTGACTTGGGGAAATCCTGTGTCCCAAGTGAAAAGCCTTTAATTCACCTGTCATTTTCACTCAGTCTGCTTTCAGGCCTGTGCATTGCCTGTGCAAACGGCAAACCACTGAAGCGGGCCCCACGGGAAAATGGTTGGTACGTAGTAGCCACTAGATGTGCTATATGTGAAGAGCACATCTATGTATGTACACATACATCATGATATATTATATGTATGTTGACACGCCCCAGAGCCCGCGCCTTAGCATCTTCGTATGTTTTCTCTGATGCGCACTGTCATTGGTTGCTTGGGACACGGTTTCTTATGCAGGGCTTGTGACAATGTGCTCAACACGCAGAACCGCGAAATGCTGCAGATAGTAGCCTCTTAGCAAGCTTGGCACAAAGCCCATTGTTTAGGGCTGGCCTTTTTGCAGTGCTGCGTTCTCATTTTGTTGTTGGCTTCCCTCTCTATCCGATGCGGTCGATTTCCGCGCTCGCTGTGGCCGCGAAAAAAAAACACGGCGATGGCAATCGACGCAGGCAGACGCTGCAAGTGGCCAAGGGGGACGAGGAGATGTTGTTTCTGGAGAAGCAGAAGGCGGAGGAGGGGCGGGAATAAAGGCAGTTGGCCTTTGGGAAGAAGCTGCCATAAGGGAAGCCAGGCTGGTGTTGAAGCCAGGCTGATGTTTACCTGAGCAACATAGCGAACCAAAAGGATATGATTTAAGCAATACAGTTGGGTGGAACATGGAGCAAGATTTTGGCTATGGCTCAGGAAGAGGTGGTGACATCACCGACGTTTCTCAACAATTCATGCAAAATCCGTCCGAATTCGCACACTGGTGCCCTTCTCTCCCCTTTTTTTGGGCAGGGTTTCTCTACTAAAATAGACTACAGAAACAAAACAAAAAATCAAAAAACAACAACTTGGTACCCTTATTCTAACCTCAAACAACTGGAGGACCTAGACTTGGGTCTCGTTTTATCCAGCGGCAATCCGCCGCAACATCCGTTGGCCATCCGGAGGAGAAGTACTTCCGCAGCGTGGCGGGGATGTTCCACAAGTTGGACACCTCCGGGGATGGGTCGCTGTCCTGGGAGGAGTTCCAACAAGCCATGGAGGACGCCACAAATCGAGTCACGAGGTCGAGTCGACTTCTTAACTCGAGGTGATCGAGTTGGGGCTAAGTGGTTGAGGGGCTATTGGTCAAATGCTTGAGTGGCGGTTTTTCGGTTTTCGTTTTTTTGGATTTCAGCGGGTTTTCAGAAAGGGCGGCAAAGGACGAGCATATTTTGACTGCTCAAGCGGTCCTAGGGGCGCTGGCGTTGGTTTCTCTCTCCACCCGTGCAAACACACACGCACACACACACACACACACACACCGATGACATTCACCCACCCACGCGCGCACGGGCGCACAGGTGCCTGAGTGAAGACTAATTAGCCCAAAACCAGCCGCTGTGGGTTCATACAAAGGCAATTCCAATTGCGGGCGTCTTTGCTGACGGCTCAGATTCACTGCTCCAAATCTGAGGAAATTGGGCAAAGGCTCTAGCTCCCTTTGACCTAAGCCGAAGCCTACTTTACGGGACGCCTCATCTTCAGTTTCCCTTAAGCTGGGGTCCCCAAAAAATATCTTGTAATTCAGGGATTGAGTATAGAAGAGCCAGACAAAAACCATGTGCACCCTGGGCCAAGACATTTCGATGATTTCGCGCAACGAAGTCAAACCCAGGACCCCAAGCTCTGCTTCCTGCTGCAAAAGCTGGAAATCGACCCGGGTGACCTGAAGCTGTTGTTCGACCTCATGGACGAGCAAGGCCGGCGCTCAGCTCGGCCGTCAACGCGTTTCAAGGCGATGGGAGCCGCTCAGGTTGCTACGAAGAAGAAAGCAAGAATGCTTTTCCCAAGACCAGGGTCTGAAACGAGGTTTGCCACCTGACCCTAAGTCCCCTAAGTACACTGCAAGCCCGCGGGACCTTGTCAGTTTGTTTCTTCCCATTACACACCCACTTGAACCTGTTAAGCCAGACTTGGTGGTTGTTTATCATGTTTTGGATTTCAAACTGGTTGACCTGGTTACACCTGTCGCAAGACCAACTTTGCAGCCAGCGGGTCCTGTCAGGCACCGGCGAGATCTCCATCGAGGACTTTATAGAGGTGTGGGACGGTCTCGTTTTTTTTTTTTTTTTTTTTTTTCCGGTGGGTGCTAAATGGCAGTGGTTCTCAAAAAAATATGCCCAAAATGGAACCCTGGTAAATGGAAACATGGACTAAAACCTGCAATCCCCTGGTGGTTTCATTTTGACCCTACCCAAATGGTCTTGAGATCCCATTTTTGGGGTTTAGTTGAATTCACCACCCATTTTAGAACCTATTTTAGTGGTTGGATGGAATCGGATGTTCACTGGGGGCTAACCGATTTGGATTTTGCCCCATGGCCAAATGGTCGTCTCGGCTTTTTGAGTTGCCCGTATCAGGTTGGACTCCCATTTGCCAGTCAAAGTCTTATGGGTCAACATGAACCACCAGGAATTGGACCGCAGATAGTCCATGTGTCCATAGAGTTCCATTGGAAGGTTTACTTTCATGTGGACTTAAGCAAATGGGGTCTAGGGATACCATGTTGGGGGGGGGTCCTCATATTTTGAGACATCAAATCGACACATTGTGTCGACTTCGCCAAAAGAAGGGCGCGGTGTGTCCCTGTCAGTTTTCCCAAAACATGGCCAGTGTCTTTTAGCTGTTTTCCGGTTGAAACGACTAAATCGCGAAGTATTTGGGGAAGTCCCCTCATGTTGGTTCACGAGCAACTTCACCGGGTCTCGGAGGAAACGAGTGATGAATCGCCAATGAAGTTACCAGGGCTTCCCTTGTTTCCAGTCGGCCAGAGCAATTCGGCCAGAGTTCCACAGGAAAACATCAGGGATAGACATGTGTATATGGGTGTGCCTCTTTTTTGGGGCCTGTTTTGTGGTCCGAAGGGAAACCGCAAAAACGAAAGCACAATTTTAAGGGGTCCCCTAAGAAAAGACACCCCCATATTTGTTTAGACCCCCTGGACGCCACGTTTGTGGGGGGAAGGCGAGCCTGCCCCCTGGTTTCCCTTTCAGAATCAACCCAAAGGGGGTCTACCATATTGAGAACCCCTAGATTGCCCACTTCAATCTGGCTTTGCAGTTTCACGCGGCTGTTGCACGGCAATCAGGGATTCTGAAGCTGACATATCAACCTCCTTGAGAGAATCGTGCATGCCTCTGAAGGCTTCTCCCACCCTTTCTGTTGCCCGCACTGCCCCAATGATCCCCCTCCCCCTTCGTAAATCAACCTGACCCCAAAATCAACCATCGAAAGGTACTTGTTCACCCGCCTGAAACCCATCCTAAACCAACCCTGATCCACCCAAAGCGTCCTCAGAAGGTTTTGACTTTTCTGCACCTCCAAACAATGCCCAACTCCAAGCCAGCCATTCCACCCACCCTCCACTCACCAGGAATTCCAATTCCACCCACCCACCAGCAAACCCCAACTCCAAGCCCCCATTCCACCTTCCAATCCCACCCATTCCACCCTCTCCCCCCACCCACATCCGCTTTGCACCTTGCACCCCCCCCCACCCCGATCCGCCTTGCACCTTGCCCCTTCCGCTGCAACCCCCAGGGCATCACTCGCTTCAAGGGCGGTGCCAAGTCCCTGGACGTGGGCCAAGTCCTCCTCCGCGCCAAACGCCTCGAGAAGTCCCTCGCCCGCATCGAGGACCGCCTCGCCCCGCCGCCTCCGCGGCTCGGGGCGGCGAGGAAAGCGGCGGCGCAAAGGGAGGCGACCCAGGAGTAGGCGAGCCACGAAAAGAGACGCCACAAAGCGCCAAGGGGGTTCCTCCTAACGGCAGCCCCTTGCAAAGCAAATCGTTTTGGGATGGATCGCGCTGTTCGCTGAAATCATGGGCCCTCGTTTGGCCTGTGAAAAGGTTGCACAGAATGTCCGCAGCCTGGCGATGTTTGAACCCACTGACGGATGAAATTGTGGCGTGCACGGGTTCACCTCGCGTCGGTTGGTTGCAAATCAGGGTGTTTCAAAAAATGGTTTGAAACTCCTTTGCAGCCCCAGTCAAAACTAAGCCCAGGTTGCATCTCCTTTGAACGGGGGTTCCCTTCAAATCAACCACCAAAAAAAGAGTGCTTTTTTGCCCATGGTTATTGGGCACATATTCCTTTCAAACCTACGGCTCAACTTCGGACCGTGTAAGATGGGAAGGCCCTGCCTTGCCCAATCTCGCGCAGCGAATTTTCCGAAGCCAAGTTTAAACCTTTCAATGTCCTTGACGTTGCAAGGTCAATCCCCTTGGTGAGATTCCTGATCCCCTCCCCTTTCGTAGATGAACCCGCTCACAAGCCCCCTTGTCCGTTATCAGTTTTGCAGGTTGGATGTGGAAGGACAAAGTCCAGTCGGGATGGATGAAATCCCATGAATACTGGGAAATAGTTTTGTCCACAGCATGGTGACCAAAGTGAAGTGAGCCCTGAGAAACGCCCAGACTTAGTTTCTATGTAACCAAGTCCAAAGGAATCTCCTAAACCCCGCTTCGCCGCCTGTTCGATGCTCCAAATGGGGAAACATCCGGACTGGTGGACACGCACACACAAGAAAGCCACAGGCCAAAATGAATGGTCAGACAAATCTGGAGATTCCTAGATGTTCATATTTTAGTGTAGACGAAATATGGAGCAGAATATGAACATACATATAGATGGTTTGTGTGGGTTACTCGTATGCTGAAACAAACTTGGAACCTGAAGGAGACCCCCTGGAAGACCATTTTCCCCCCAACAGGGACTGCTTTTCAGAGGATAAGCCACTACCCTTTTTTCTAACCTCTCTACTGGAGGACCTAGTCTGAAGAATGAATGGCTAGCACACGATGAAGCAAAAGCGAGTTGAGCACGTGCCCGTTGCACCGGAATGAATTTGGCGCGCCCTAAGCGGTCTGCCATGCGACTTCCGACTTCCGAGCGGTTCTCTAAAGATGAACAAAGGGGGTCCAGACCTCTTCATGTGGCTTTGCTGGTTACTCTCTTAAAGTGGTGTTGTTGGTGATTTTTTCAAAGGCCATGATCTTGTTGCTGGGTTCCCTTCAAAACCATCTGGTTGGTTACTTGTTGTTGGTGTCCCTTAAAAGCCCCGATTGTGTGGGGTGTTTCCTGAAGAAACTTCATGGTGTCGTTCTTGGCGGCCCAGGAAAACCATGTCATATTCCATTTGGTTGTCGCCCTTTGTCCGGCAACCGAACGGGGGTTGACCATTTTCAGAAAGTCGCTATGACTACTCAATCCCTGAGTTCGTGGACGTTAAGTTTTTTTCTTGGAGCGAAGCGGAGAACAAACGGTGTGGCTACTCATTTTGGCTCGTGCACTCGATCGGAAGTGATCATATGACAGGTTTGGTCTGGCTTAGGGTCTTGCGTTATCGATGGAGAAAAACGCTAACAGCATGCAAAACATGTAAGAACTGTCCATGCACCAGCCAATGTTTGAGCATCTTTGGGTTTTGTTCTTGTTCAGGTGCAAACAAGAAAGGTGAAACGTGGTGCCTTTGGTTTTTGTTTAGTCAAGGTTAGCCTGCTATTGCCAGCTCCTTTGGTTGGTAAGAGCAATAGCCGTAGCGTGCCAGTGTAAAGTGTATGCGCGTGCTGTGATTACCATTTAGTAAATCTAGTTAAGATGGTTTGCTCATGCCCCTGCATCAAACAGGCCGGCAGAGAGAGATTTGTTTTTTGCTCAAACAGATGCAAACACCAAGCGCTTGCTTTGTCAAAAGGACCCGCAAAGAAACATCAACCAATCGACTCCAAGGTCAGTAGGCAACAGGTAAGAATCATGTAAGCAACCGGTAAGCAACTCATATGCTAAGAGGTAGTGTGGCCAGCACTTTACCTGTGTAGCACGCAGAAATGATGAGGCTTCAACCACAGGCAGAAGGTTTGGAACAGCCTTGAGTACTGTGGTTTAGCGGATTGATGTTTGTGTTGTTTCTGTCCATCCCTTGATGCGTGGGGAAATGGCGGTTCAGTTTGTGCGTCTCGTGTTTCTCGGTTTCTTGGGTTGGATTAGCGCTGGCCCGGCGAAAGCTCAAAAGGTTAAGGGTCTACCGTCGAATGCCAACATCGAGCTGTGCTTTCCGGAGAACCCAAGCGATGAACGCTCCCGGAAATATGGCTGTGGCTCAAAAACATGTACCCAAAATTGGCGCATGGTGTATGAAAACAAAGACTAAAACCTGCGTAACTTCAGCTGTTTAATTTTGAGCCACAGAAATTTGGTGGATTTCTTTGGCGCGCACGCCGAGGACGTACAAACCAGCCTCCCAAAGAGCCCGTCCAGATCATTGAACGAGTCGCCCCATCGACCTGTTGGTTTCACACCATGGGGTTGGGTTGCAACACTCAGAAAATGAAGATTTTGCTAAAATGATTGGGGGCTCTTTGGGATGTGGTTTGTTCTTTTGCCGATATCCAGGACTTCTCTAGGGACCACCACTGATTTCGGTTCTACTCTTTGCCTGATGCCTTTTTTGGTACTGAACAAATCGTTGGGGGGGGTCCCCGTCTTTTCCCCTGTCTATGATCTCGGATTCTTCCTGTGACTGTAGGCGCTGCCCTAGGAAAAAAGAGAAGCGCGGCGGGCGGGCGCGGGACGTCCTATCCTACCACTAAAATGGTCCAAGCCCAAGCTTCAAGTGGGTTTCAGAGCTGGCAACGAGAAGCCTCCGGAGCATTTGTATCGCATTGTGCCCGCTGTGAACGTCGGCTACAAGACCTGGACCTTCAGCTGGGGGAAACAAAGATCCCTTCCTGGGCTCGTTCTTGCTAGCCCGACGGACAACTCAGGTGACCTAGGATTTAAATCTACATAGGGCAAAGATGTACGGGGCACCTTGGCTTAAAGCTTCCCCCTGGAGCACTTCGGGGATTGGTAAGACAACTGTTTGTTTGGACGCACAAAAGATGTCTGGATCTCCATTGGAAGGGTGAGAGGACCTCAAGATTTTGAGGCCCAAGATTCTGTGGTAGTTGGGTTGGTTGGTCCCTTTTCATACCGTTTGGGGGCTGGACAAAGCCAGGACAAGCCACTCATAAGGCTTGAGGTTTTAGTAGGTGATAGCCAAAGCTCAATGCAGCTGTCTGAGGTTTGGGGGTGGTGGGTGGTTTAGGGGTGGTGTAGTCTTGGCATAGACCTGCCTCAATGGACCTTTTCTGGTCAATTAATGCCGCCCCAGTTCGGCCCCCCTTCCACGTTTTGCGAAGCTTCGCCACGGAACCAAAAAGTAAAACCAACACCGGCCAAAAGAGATCCTGCCATGAACCCCATGAAGCTTCGGTGGCTTCCTCGGGCTTCTTTTTTTGGGCAAAGAGATCCTCTTCGGGGCAGTGGTCTTCCTTCGGGACTTTTGGGATTTCGATTTTTGGGCCAAAAGTCTCCGAGCTTTCGGCCCTTCACGAAGCCCCAACTTGCCAACCCGCCACGCGCGGCGCGGGGGAGTGTGGTCGAGCCCTCCGGCGCCTTTCCTGGCGGAGCTAGTACGTGATGCAGGAGGCCAGGTATGCACAAGAAAGAGGTAAGTGCACGGCACTCTAGAAGGATTCTTCCGTTTTCTCAGATTGGAGAAGTTGGTCCATGGTATGAAAGATTGAATGATACAAACGGAAAGCTCCCTATGTCTCTTCTCTATCAAGTTTGGAATCTTCAGTCACCATGTATCCTTTCGATGGTATATTCATCGGTTAGATTTGTATTATTCTTATGCTACTGTATTTTCTTCTTATTCCCGAAAGCATCGCGAAGGGTTCTTCTGTGCGGAGCCCTTGGACAAGTTACATAGAGCCAAGTTACACAGAGCCAAGTTACATAGAGCCAAGTTACATAGAGCCAAGTTACATAGAGCCAAGTTACATAGAGCCAAGTTACATAGAGCCAAGTTACGTAGAGCCAAGTTACATAGAGCCAAGTTACATAGAGCCAAGTTACATAGAGCCAAGTTACATAGAGCCAAGTTACATAGAGCCAAGTTACATAGAGCCAAGTTACATAGAGCCAAGGTTAGGTAGAGCTTAGAGCTTCGGCGTTAGCAGCTATGTAAGTTAGTTTAGGTTTCTAAGGCGCCGGGGCGGGAGTTTGATCGTCGCTCGGGATTGCGACCCTCTGCGGAGATTCGCGTGGTCGAGGCGGACTTTTTACGATGCGCGCGCGACCCTCTGCGGAGATTCGCGTGGTCGAGGTTCAAAAACTGAGGACTTTTTACGATTTCTGCTGGCCGCGCGCGACCCTCTGCGGAGATTCGCGTGGTCGAGGTTCAAAAACTGAGGACTTTTTACGATTTCTGCGGGCGCGCGCGACCCTCTGCGGAGATTCGCGTGGTCGAGGTTCAAAAACTGAGGACTTTTTACGATTTCTGCAAGCCGCGCGCGACCCTCTGCGGAGATCGTGCGCGTCGAAGCGCTCTCGCTGTGGCGCCGTGCGAATTTGTTTTAGTCTCGGCGAACCCTCTGCGGAGATTGTGCGTGTCGAAGTGCTCTCGCTGTGGCGCCGTGCAATATTCTTGCTCGCGAAACGGCCTTTGGAAGTTGTCTCGTGGTTTGCGCGCCTGCTTTCGCAATCCCGCGGTCGCGGGTTCGATTCCCCCCTGGTCCGCGGCAGCTCCGGCTTGAAAATCGCAGCCTTTAAGTACAAACGTAGTACGCGGAGCGTGCTCCTGCAGCTCCGGCTGGAAAATCGTAACTTTTAAGTACAGACGTAGTGTGCGGAGCATGCTCCCGCAGCTCAGGCTGGAAAATCGCAACTTTTAGGTGCAAACGTAGTACGCGGAGCACGCCCCCGCAGCTCCGGCTTGAAAATCGCAACTTTTAAGTACAAACGTAGTACGCGGGGCGTGCTCCTGCAGCTCCGGTTGGAAAATCGCTATTTTTAATTGCAGCGTAGTACGCGGAGCACATTCCCGCAGCTCCGGCTGGACAATCGCAACTTTTAAGTACAAAAATAGTACGCGAAGTACATTCCTACAGCTCCG